TCTCTCGAGTGAGGAGGACGTGTTGTAGCAGAGCAGCCAGTTTTTAAAATGGCGGGATTGAGTTGTGTACACCATAGGGTTGGACATTTCTTGATCAATCAGTGTAAGGCAATTGGCAAACCCTGACCCCAACGCTAGTGAAAATGCAAAAAAATCGTACAGTTCTGTGACTATGTACAAGCGACTTCTGTGTACATGCCCAAGTGTGCCCCGAGTGCTCCGCGCGCCCATTGTCTCGTACTCCAGGGTGAGATTACTATACGTGGCCGCATAGTACTCCCGGAGGACAGGCACAACATCCCGGACGAGCTGCTGCTCAAGATGTGCAGGAGCCGCCGCTCTGAACAGAAGGTACGAGGGAGAAAGCAAGGATCCAGACCTGCACTGCCCTCCATTACCACCGGGAACATGCGCTCATCAACCAACAGGGCCGACGAGCTGGCGGGCCTGATGCGTTATCAGCGGGAAAACAAGAACTGCAGCGTCCAGATCTACACGGAGTCCAGATCTACACGGAGATGGAAGGATTTCATATGATCAGAGCTGACCGGACATCCGCGTTTGGGAAGAGGAGAGGTGGGGTCTGACTGTGTTTGTAAATACGGACTACGGCGAGCCAGCGCACTGCACAGTGAAAAGGCAAGTTTGTTGCAGAGACATTGAGCTTTTTGGTTATTAGCATGACCATGCCATCTGCCAAGAAAGTATAGTCACATTATTGTAATGCATGTGAGAGCCTCTTTTCCACCATGAGCAGTCTTCAAACACAATACCCCCAGGCCCTGTTCACAGGGGACCTTAATCAGGGGACAGGGGACCTTAATCACACGTCTCCAGCCTCTAATCTCCCATCCTTCACACAATATCTGTCCTCCTCCAGGTAATAAGTGTGGGACACCACTTGCAGTCCCACCTGGAGAAACCTGGCTCAATTGTTAGTATCCTCTTCTTCAATTTCTCCGCCGCCTTCAACACTATCCAGCTTGTCCCTCAGGGACCCAGGGACAAGCTGGAACCCCAGTTTGTGAGATTCAGGGACTTTGTGTCTGAGGTCCTGACATGTAGTGTGGGGGCCCCCCAGGGGACTGTCCTCACGCCGTTCCTCTTTACCCTCTACACTACGGACTTCAGACACAACCCAGACAATTGTGTCCTAGAGAAGTTCTCTGACAACTCAGCTGATGGGACTCAGCTCCGAGGACGATGACCTAGAGTACAGAGGAGTAATACAGGACTTTGTGGACTGGTGTCAGTGGAACTACCTCCACATCAACGCGGGGAAGACTAAGGAGATGGAGGTGGATTTCCACAGACGTCACTCTGCTGCTCCAGTGAAGTGCCTCTTACAAGTACCTGGGTGTTCATCTGAACCACAAACTGGACTGGACTCATAACACAGCCGACCTCTTCAAGAAGGGCCAGAGCCGACGCTACCTGCTGAGACGGCTCAGATCTTTTGGACTGTAGGGGCCACTCCTGAAGACTTTCTATGACTCTGTGGTGGCATCAGCCATCTTCTTTTTGTACAGTGTGTGACCTGAGGGTGGTAGAGGATGAGCCTAATTTTGTTTTGTATTGTCCACTTTACTTTGAGTATCTAAACATTTTATTTTGAAAAGTAATGCTTCTAATCCAGAGGTCTTTTGGTGGTCACAGGGAGAAATTATGAACTGGGTGTATTGCCATGCAAGTTTTGCCTTTACTTCTTTTGTTGCTAAAGCCTGGGAGAGGAGATAACAGATTCTGTACCCTGTATGAGGCACCAAATTGTACATTGTTTTCTGTTTTTCATGTATGTATATGGTCTGTAGCCATCAGATGATGTTGTTCAGTGTCATATAAGCCCATGTGGGCTGGGAACTTCTGTGCATGACACATAAATAAATAAATAAAAACTCAAACTCAAACAAACTCTACGGTGTGATCCACTGGAGCAGCAGCATCACAGAGAGGGACAGGAAGAAGCTGGACATTGTCATCAGGAAGTCCAGCTCTGTCCTGGGCTTTGTGCAATGATGCAACTTCAGTGTTCATTGAACAATGTCACTTTACTTTATCTACTTATCATCCTGCCCTGTATGTATAGTATATAACTCCGCACTACATACATTTTCCTCTTTATTTAAAGCAATATTTAACACCTTTTAATTCCTCTTATAATCTTCGTCACACAAACCAGCTTTTCTTTCACACTCCTCGTGTGAAAAAAGAACTTGGCAAATATGCTTTCCAATATAAAGCCCCAAACGACTGGAATCTCCTTCCGGCCTCTATTCGCTCTCTAACTTATTTTTATCTTTTTAAAGTTGCTGTACTAAGGCATCTACAGTATGTAATGTTTGTCACTGCTACTGAACTTTCTTTTAAATATTATATCCTTTTGTTTTCACTGTCCTAGTTTGAGGAGTAGGGTGACCTCTGACCTCTGAGAGCTGTGTGTGTGTGTGTGTGTGTGTGTGTGTGTGTGTGTGTGTGAGTGAATGTTTCTGTCCTTGTATTGTTTTTTTTTTTGTCTGTTATTTTATTGAATTTATTTACTGTAATTTGTTATGTTTTTTATTTGTTACACTTTACTGTAACTGCATTTATTTGACAACCGCTGCTGCTACTTGTGTTGCTATTTTTGAGGACCCTCCTGAAAACGAGATGATGCATCTCAAGGGGCTATTCCTCGTAATAAAGAAATGTAAATGATAAAATGATGGTATCCCCACTGTGGGATCTCTTATCTTATCTTATCTTAATTATTGAGCTTTTTAAAGTAAATGTCTTATATGGACTACTGCTGTACTAAATATATGATAATGAGCCACGTGCGTCAAAGATCATAACTATAGAGGACAGAAGTCTGCAAATTAGTCATATTGTGTTCCTGGCAAACTGCATTATGTTAGCACGTATGAAGCTTGTGTTGGGTGTTGGATTTCCCACTGACACCAGTAGATGGAGATAAATATCTTTTCCACACACAGATCAATTGCAAATACACAAACAAAGTTTAAATCGATTTAACATTTATATTTAACTGCTAAATCAGTTAAGCTCTCTGTTAATGTGCATGTATTATTTCCCTCTGTCACATCTTTAGAACCGCTTTTTCAGACAGAAAGGGCAATTATTCAGAGAGGACAACAATCTGTCAGGAATTAACCAGACAGAGACGGATCGTGGTGCGCCAAACTCTGGAAGTTTATTTACGTTTCTCTCAAGTTCCAGTGGTTTCAATTGTTTCTTTCTCTCAGACAGAATAAAGGCAGTACACAGTTTATATAGTCATTGTCACGTCACACATTGGAAGACATACGTGTCACACAGAGACAGTGCACATCATAGTCAAAATAATCAGTCCTTGTAGAGTCCTGCACGTAGGCCATATTGCTATCTAATACTAACACTTCCCTCAAGCCAATCAGCTCTCAGCCCAAAGCGAAAGCATGCAAAAGAGAACATGTTTTCTAATGAGATGAACCCAGTATGTTGTTGTCTGATTTTTTCACATTTTACTTTAATAAGACTTTTTATATACATACCATTCAGCTAGAAATATACACTCATCCCCGCCCTTCTCTCTCTGTGCTGTGTCGTCCACGTCAGCACCACGGACAGTTCCAGTATTGAACAGCCCCTTCCCTCGCTGTGTCTCTGCTCGTGTGGATTCCAACAATTATTTATTTATCTATTCAGCTTTTTTCTTCTTCCACCGAGCCGTTCCGGAAGTAGCTCATTTCGCTCATGCAGCCGACCATTTGATGGGGGAGGAAAACAAATCTATCGCAACTGAAAAAAATCAACCCATCGCCTCGCAATCAATACAAGCGTCGGTCGTGCGTAAAAGACGTTTGGGATTGGGGTAAAGCAAAAATATGTTGTGCCTTTCTTCCTTCTGTCCTCTTGTCCTACCTCTTGTTTTTTTCCTTTTCGGGGTTCCATGTTCCGCTGCCTCTTTTGCCGTCAATAGCCCGTTGACATCGCGTTAAAATGGGATACTACTGCTTTTTCGCCACGTAAAGAAAAACGATGGATTTGCAGCTTGATGGATTCTTCCAAAAATGATGTGATGGGTGGGAGATGCTAAGCTGCTAGTGAAGGAACAATAAAAGGAGGGCATTGTTTGCATTAGAGCTCTTTTATATTCTATATTGTGGGATTATGCTTTTGGCCAGGCGTGGACGCGTGGATGGCATGCCTTTTCCCCCGGATTTCCAACTTATCTTTGCGTCTTTATCGCCTCTTCTCCTGCACTTCTGCTTTGGGTAGCGAGGGAGAAAAACATGTAGGCTCTTCTCTACCGCAAGAAAGAGCCCAGCGCTTGTGAGAAGAGGAGAAAAACAATCATGCTGCTGTGCCAAACGCTGCTATTGGCCTCTTTCTTGAGTGGTTTAATGGAGTAATGGAAGATTAAAATAGCTGTGATGGAAAACAATTGATCCACGCTGCTTTGGAGACACATGCTATCGCTGAGGCCTTGTAATAACAAAGACCACGAATGATACGCGTAATAGGCCGATATTAAGAATTTAAGGATAAGATAGGGAGTAAGCCATCGCATGGGCCTCATAGACCCAGATACTGTATTGATAAAAATGACCAATAGATTGTAATTGTAGTAACAACAAAAAGGATGTCATGCTTTACATGTCAATAAGTCCCTGTAATATTACCAATACATCAAAATAATAGAGATTCACCACCCTCTATGAATTCTCGTCTCAACAGGGTGCAATTTCAACACAGAAGAAATTTACAGTAATAATAATAAGCCTATGGATTGTACTTTTCATTCACAGCAGGCACTATGAGTCATAATGTTGCCATTAACGCAAAATACAAATGGTATGTCATCTGTTTCGCCACATAATTAAAAAAAACGAAATAACTAAACGTGGTTTGGACTGTATTATCATAATTAAATACGAAAGAAAAGTGATAATTATGCCATAATTCTAAGACTATATGAACTGATTTTAAGGCTTCGTTTTGCCGCGCGCGAAAAACCCAAAATGTTCAAATATCGAATCCGCATGTTTTTCAACGAGCTCAAGGTGCTAGTGTTCATGCGATCGGACACAGGGCAAACGGACGAGGAGAGGCGAACCAGCGGGGCCAACAGCTCAGCCATGCGGGACTTCGGGCTCGGCATGGCGGACTGTGGATGCATGGCGCCCTTCATAGACTGCCATGCGCGCGATGACGAGGAGGAATACTACGGCAGAGACCCGCGGCCCCGGAGCCTGGCCTTCGAGGAGAAAGAGCCCGGAAAGCTGCAGAGTGTGCATGGGTTAGACACAGTGTCGCTGAGCAGCACAGCCAGCAGCCTGCGCACGCCCCAGTGTCGGATCTGCTTCCAGGGACTCGAGCAGGTGAGAAATGTGCTCCTCTTTTGGCTTTGAGACAGGCACCCTATAATCTGAGCTTTTACCATGTTAAAGCAGTGTTCCTCATCAAAACAGAGACCCCCCCCCCCCCTCTCTCTCCCTCTGCCTTTCTAACCGAAACCATCCATTTAGATCCTAACACTAGTTCACAATATCACCCTGCGGACTTCAGTAAACATTTGTCATTCAGCCAACTTCAGTTCAATCAAATGTGAATCAATATGGCCGTGATGTCATACCTCATGTTAAAGCTCAAAACAGCCTTCAGTCACAACCGTTTTACAATTTGTGTCATCAATAATAACCACTATCTTCAAAACATTATCCTCTTGTTGGAGTTCTATGTTACAGTATGTCCACTCCCACTACAGTGTTTTACTACTAACAACCATTAAATGTCCTTTAAAAATGTTTCTTCTTATATTTTTATTTTATTCATTGCACATTGGAACGCGGAATGTATATATGGGATTTGGTGCAATCTAATTAATACGCAAAATGTCACTATCTGGAAAAAAGGACTTCAAAACATTTATATGTACAACCAATAGAAGTATGGCACAAACACTTCCTCCGGCACCCTCATGCAACATGATCAACTTCAGTTTGATCATGTTGTCAACAAAACTCTTTAAAACAAAAAAGAGGGGGGAGAAGTGTTGTAGACGTGGAAGTACCGTTATAAAAGATACAATTAATCAGTGCATGTTTTCCTCTCTTCCCTTCCCTTCACAACCACACAACGTTCACACTCAGAGCTACTACAGCCACAATCTCCCTTCTCTGCTTTTTACTGTTATTTATGAAGATAACAGCCTGATGGCCTCTCTACGCTGTGCTCAGACATGGTATTGTTGTTGCTGGAAGGGAGGGCAGAGCTGACAGCCTGTGTACGTGGGATAGTGATCTAAATAACGCTGTTTTAATGAGAGCGTCTGTGAGGAGCCCACTCATTTTAACCCAGGCCAGAGCCGCACACACTTTAGTAGACATGTCCACCATGACACCACACAGCCACTATATTGTCTGCAGTGAGAGAAAGCACAGAAGTGCAGGGATCATGAGAATAGTTACGTAGCCATTTCAAGAATGTGAATTTATTTCTTACAGCTGGGGTAAAAAACTGGTATACATGATACCAGTACAAAATTAAAATGTTTATATTGCTCTATGTGGAACATAAACTTGCCGCAGGTCATGATAATGCGATTCCCTAGGTGTGCTGTGCCTTTTATTTAAAACACACAAAATGCCAAGCTAACATTTTTTACCATATTTTAGGGTCAAAGTGGACACACTGAATCCTTATAGACACAGACAGTAGTTTATCTCAAGATGTGTTTTTATATGCACTGTCTCCAGCTTTCACGCACGCACGCACACACACACACACACACACACACACACACACACACACACACACACACACACACACACACACACACACACACACACACACACACACACACACACACACACACACACACACACACACACACACACTGATGCAGCCGGGCAGACAACAGCCAGGAAGCCAGCACTAATGTAGGACTAATGTAGAAGAGTGGTCTGGTTCATGAACCTGGTGGAGGTTTGGACTCTCAGAATTGATTGATGAAAAAAGTCCTAGTCCAGAGTGCAAATGTGGAGAGTTCACGTGTTCCTTGTGTTTACTAAAATGTTTGTGACTGAGCTCTTGTGATTAATGCGACACCAGTGCTGCCTGTGACACTCGCACATTATCAGAACGTTGTCATGAAATAGCTTTTTCACACAGTTTGACCGTGTTTTAGTTGTTAAACTTGTCATTTATTTGTTTTTAGATACATTACCCTTTTTTTTGTGTTGTGCGGGTATTTAAGGGCCAGAGAGCAGAGCGATACAGGTAGACTGAACACAGGGTTAAGTAGTCCGTCTCGAGATGAGATTTACATTACACAAAAAATAAAATAATAATAATAATATTAATATATATAAACCATTGAAATCACCAACACAGATCAGAGAATCGAAAGGTAAGACACAAAAAATAAACAGGACAGTTTGTAAGCACCTTCATCACTGGATTGAAACGCCAGTGTCCGCTCATGAATTTTCAATTTGACGTAGTGTTCATCCAAGTGATGCAACACTAAAATTTCCCCACTGTGGGACATATAAAGGATCTATTCATCTTAATCTTAATACATACTCTTGCCCTGGGGCACACTGACAGAAGCGAGACCACCAGTATGTACCATCAGCCCCTCCGACCACCACACACACACATTAGACTCATTCCAGGGCAGGCAATGGGGGTGAAGTGTCTTGCACAACGGCAGTTTGGCACTTTACAGCCGCAGCCGCCCCACCGTGGCATCAGGTGTTCCCAGAGGTTAAGTGTCCTGTTAAGTGTAAATGGATCTATTATATCTACTCCATAGACTGTAGGTCTACCCGGCTTTAGCCTTCATAGCAGCCCGGAAGGCCCCCTGAATGTGGACACAGCTCGTGGGTCAGAGCTCCATACTGTGCACAGCCAATCTACGATGATAGAACTGCTTTGGTCTAACTTTCTGTAGCTCCACCCCCTTCATTTGCATTGCTTTGCAAGACACAAGAAAAGAATAATGTGTTGTGACATAATACAACAGATAATCAATAAAAAGGAAAAAAATAAGATATGAAGAAATCCTTTATAAATAAATACATGCAGACAGAAAATAATCAGTATTTATTTTTGAAACAAAAAACGTTGTATAATAATTGTACTGTTACACCTTTTTTGTTATGTACATTTTTTAAATTGTTTGTTTTGGCGAGTTTGAATACTGCCACCTAGTGGACACCTTGGGTATTAGTTTCGTTTTTCAGCACGCTCATTCGATGTCAGCTCATGATGCAGTCAGCTCACTCAAAAACACCCGTTTTCAGCCTTGGGGCATCTTTGTCCGTAAATGATGTATAATGTGTGGTTTTGAAGTTGTTTTGTTTATAATAATGTGTGCAAATATGAACTTGTTGTTACAAATGCTTTCTATCTGCTAATTTTTTGTGCGTTAGCTCCGTTTTGTTTGAAGTGATAGTCTGGAACTCTAAATTAATTACAAAGCCTCCGAATCAAGCCTCCACCAGGCTCTGGAACTACATGAAAAGTGAACAAAGAATTCTGAACATCCGCGCTGAGTTACAATTTATAAACTGAACCTATATCCATAATCAGATCCTCTGCAGATGTGTCCTGAAATGTTGAAATTAATGATAATAGCTACTCCCGATTATTTTTGCCATGAAAATGTTAACAAATCATTCTAAAAACCTCTGTGCATGTGTATTAATAATGCCATACATCCATCCATCTTCTTCCGCTTCATCCGTTGCCGGGTCACGGGGGCAGCAGTCTAAGCAGAGACGCCCAGACTTCCCTATCCAAACACACTTCCTCTAGCTCGTCTGGGGGGACCCCAAGGCGCTCCCAGGCCAGTTGAGAGACATAGTCCCTCCAGCGTGTCCTGGGTCTTCCCCGGGGCCTCCTCCCGGTGGGTAAGTAATTAAGTAAGTAATCTTTATTTATATACCGCCTTTTCACTGCAGATTTGAGTCTCAAAGCGGTTTACAATTGTTAATTTTTGGGCATTTGTCTCTCACTCCACACAGAGATGGGAGCGGGGTCGCCAGTACAGGAGGCGCATGCTAGAACTATTGGACATATTTTTAGTGGTAGGGGAAACCGGAGTACCCGGAGGAAACCTACGCAGACACGGGGAGAACATGCAAACTCCACTCAGAAAGGCCCTGGTCCGACCGGGATTCGAACCCAGGACCTTCTTGCTGAGGGGCGAGAGTGCTATCCACTCAGCCACCGTGCCGCCCAACATGCCCGGAACACCTCCCCAGGGAGGCGTCCAGGAGGCATCCGGAACAGATGCCCGAGCCACCTCAACTGGTTCCTCTCGACGTGAAGAAGCAGCGGCTCTACTCCGAGCTCCTCCCGTGTGACTGAGCTCCTCACCCTATCTCTAAAAGAGCGCCCAGCCACTCTGCGGAGAAAGCTCATTTCGACCACTTGTATCCGCGATCTCGTTCTTTCGGTCATTACCCAAAGCTCATGACCATAGGTGAGGGAGGGAACGAAGATTGACCGGTAAATCGAGAGCTTTGCCTTTCGGCTCAGCTCCCTCTTCACCACAACGGTCCGATACAGCGACCGCATCACTGCGCACGCTGCACCGATCCGCCTGTCAATCTCACGCTCCATCCTTCCCTCACTCGTGAACAATACCCCGAGATACTTGAACTCCTCCACTTGAGGAAGGACCTCCCCACCCACCTGAAGAGGGCAAGGCATCATCCGCAAACAGCAGAGATGAAATCCTGTGGTCCCCGAACCAGACCCCCTCCGACCCCTGGCTGCGCCTAGAAATTCTGTCCATGAACACAGTGAACAGAACCTGTGACAAAAGGCAGCCCTGTCGGAGGCCAACATTCACCGGGAACAGGTCTGACTTACTGCCGGCAATGCGAACACAGCTCTGGCTCCGGTCATACAGGGACCGGACGGCCCTCAGCAGAGGACCCAGGACCCCATACTCCCGGAGAACCCCCCAAAGTACACCCCGGGGAACACGGTCGAACGCCTTCTCCAAATCCACAAAGCACATGTGGACAGGTTGGGCAAACTCCCATGAACCCTCGAGTATCCGATGGAGAGTATAGAGCTGGTCCAGTGTTCCGCGACTGGGACGAAAACCACACTGCTCCTCCTGAATCCGAGATTCGACCATCGGCCGTAGCCTCCTCTCCAGTACCTTGGAGTAAACCTTACCAGGGAGGCTGAGGAGTGTGATCCCACGATAATTGGAACACACCCTCCGGTCCCCCTTCTTGTAGAGAGGGACCACCACCCCGGTCTGCCACTCCATTGGCACCGCCCCCGATCGCCACGCGATGTTGCAGAGACGTGTCAGCCAAGACAGTCCTACAACATCCAGAGAGTTTAGATAGTCAGGACGGATCTCATCCACTCCCGGCGCCTT